AAGGTAAAAAATTCCATATCCGAAGATGGCCGAACATGAACAATGTATCCGTATCACCCAGCTAGACGTAATTTATGAGGCCTTCATGTGCTTGGCAAATCAGAGGTTCTGCACATCTACAATTGCAAATTTCATCATCTCAAATAGTTGAGAATTCAAGATGGATGGGAGCTTGATTTGGTTTTATGGAAACTTAAAATTTTAAATATGGCTATACGATGACAATGGATTGCTTTCTATTAATCTCGGGTCGAACCTAGTGGCAATAAGAAATGTTTGTGCCAACACAGAAAAAAAAGTTGTTGAATATTTCATCCAAACCGCTGCAACCAGGTCAATCCATCCGTTGTGTAATATAAAGATGTACGATGTACATCGATTTTGCGAACAAAATTACATCCATTGATGTAATATTGTATCTGCTTTTTGTTATTACATCATTATTTCATAGATCAGCTTGAATTACATTGTTCGATATTAATTTTTTTTTGCAGTGCAAGTATTAGTGCAGAACTAAGAAGTTCAGACAAAAGAGAATACTATTTCAAAGTAGTAGTCGTAACTTTGATGCATTTCGAATATTCAAACTGTGGTCAATTTAATACCCCCGACAGACTATGGCTTATATCATGTAATATAGGCTGTCTTGCAATGAGCACTCATACATCTACTTTTCACTGGAAATCCTATGTATGAGTGCTCATTGCAAGACAGCCTATATTACATGATATAAGCCATAGTCTGTCCGGGGTATAACCAAATTTATCATATTTTAAAATTTGCAAATGCTTCGGTCAACGTCGACCCATAACAGCCTGCACTAGATTTGAATGAAAACGGCTTAAAGGGTGATACGGTCAAAATTTGGTCAAGGGAAAACGCGTGTAAATCGGTGAAATCGTTTATTTAAAAAATCAAATTAAATTTCTTTTTCAAGTTCAATTAGTATAAAATTCAGGAAAAATATTCAGTTAGGCTTCCGCTTTTCCAAATCCGAATTTCCGGGCCTTACGCTTGACCCCTGCCATCAGATTTTGTACAGCCACCTTGTCCACCTTCTTCGCCGCAGAAAGCCAGTTTGCCTTGAACTGCTGCTCGCCCTTAGCAGTTTTTTTGGTCTTCTTTAGGTTCCGCTTAACAATAGCCCAGTATTTCTCAATTGGGCGGAGCTCTGGCGTGTTGAGAGGGTTCTTGTCCTTGGGAACCACCTGCACGTTGTTGGCGGCGTACCACTCCATGGCCTTTTTACCGTAATGGCAAGATGCCAAATCCGGCCAAAACAGTACGGAACAACCGTGTTTCTTCAGGAAAGGCAGCAGACGTTTATTCAAACACTCTATCACGTAAATTTCTTGGTTGACAGTCCCGGAAGCTATGAAAATGCTGCTTTTCAAGCCACAGGTACAGATGGCTTGCCAAACCAGATATTTCTTTGCGAACTTTGACAGTTTCATGTGCTTGAAAACATCTGATACCTTTCCCCTTCCTTTTGCCGTATAAAACTCCTGTCCCGGAAGCTGCTTGTAGTCGGCTTTGACGTAGGTTTCGTCGTCCATTACCACGCAGTCAAACTTCGTCAGCATCGTCGTGTACAGCCTCCGGGATCGCGCTTTGGCCGTCGTATTTTGTTTATCATCGCGATTTGGAGTCACTACCTTCTTGTAAGTCGATAGTCCGGCTCGTTTTTTGGCTCGATGCACGGTTGTAGACGATACACCCAGCTTATTTGCGGCATCTCGGAGAGAGAGGTTAGGGTTTCGCTTGAAACTACCGGCAACTCTCTTTGTCGTCTCAGCTGCTTCCGGTTTTCGATTTCCCCCCGATCCAGACTTCCTGGCTGTCGACAAACGTTCTCCAAACACTTTAATTACACTTGTAACGGTTGATTTGGCAACTTTTAGAGATTTTGCCAACTTTGCGTGCGAGTAGCTCGGATTTTCGCGATGCGCGAGCAAAATTTTGATACGCTGCTCTTCTTGCTTGGACGGCATTTTGACAACTGAAGAGTGAATTCTAAAATCAAAATAGGAGCAACATTCTACACACACACATCTTCAAAATGAGGGGTGTTCAGGTTTTTTAAATGCAAAATTGAAAGAAATACGTCAAGTTGATATTGACCAAATTTTGACCGTATCACCCTTTACAAAAGATTGGCACGAAGCAGTAGGAAGGTCATGGGATCTATTTATGGATAATTATCCAGTGTAAACCACCATTTGCTCTCTTTATTTATACAGCTATTCCACTTAGACGCCCACATTCATAAGGATTCACTTTTCGACAATGAGAAGCTGCAGAATTTAGGAAAATTTATCACCGTTGAACGTCTTTCTTTTACAGTTGGGGAATAAACGCAACAAGATTGCTGTGTTACCGTGCATTGCTTGTTGAGCAACTCGAGTTACTCAGAGTTGCTCAAAATTAACTCAAATTTTACTCATGATCAAAAGCTGTCTTGCCCCCAGTTCGTTCAAGCTAAACTAGCAGATCGTCATAGCTGGCGAAAACGAATGAACATAAAGCAGAATCTGGCACGGTAACCGAAAACTACTCAATATTGAATACAAAATACGCATTTTTGAGGGAAAGTGGGACTAACCAATAAATGAGTAAAATTTTACTCACAAATGAGTAATTATTACTACAAAAATGAGTAAAATTTATTCTATTTTGAGTCATAATTAATCAAAAATGGGTAAAATTTGTAAAGTGTCCCTTGAAAATGCCTAATTTTTAGTCAATATTGCGTGCTTTATAGTCCGCTTTCGTTATTTTTTATTATTTTCTTTTATTTCAGGGCAATGATTCTTAGATAATTTCTTTACTCTGTTTTGTTAAATAATCCTTATATTAAGCAGAAGAATAAAAAAAATCCCACTTTCAAAACTCATTATTTTTTTTATTCGTATGGATGATGAAAGGTCAGATATGCAGTGCTAAGTAGATGGATTTTAAAAGTTAAAGTTAACAGAAGTCTAAATACCTATAATTATTAAATATTTTAATATATGTTAGTAGAAAATTGCTCAAAACCAGTGAATATAATTTTGGCCAGGTTTTTGTTCCAGTTACTCCTCTGTGCACTGTGGAATTCGCGATTCCCAACGTTTTAGCGATGGAACGATGCGAGAGATCCTTGTTCCGTGATGAATGCGCAAGATTTTATCACGCACGAGCTGTTCTTTCGACTCCATTTCCGCGAGTTTTGATCACAGGACTTTAAAACTTGCAGGATGTAAATAATGCACTATGAACTAAATCCACCCAAATTTTCATTAAATTCTACCCAACGGTTAAAAAGTTAGAGCAATTTCATAGTGTGGCAATTTCATCGTGGACACCTTTTAGCCGGCTCAAAAGTTGAGACTTCCACGGTAGTTGGGACATTATAGCAAAGAATATCGAATTATGCCATACAACTTTCGCAAAGTCAGTTTATCCTGCGATGTTTGAAACTGTTTTGAATTCTGGAACTCATAAACTACTGACAAAAGCGCAAATTTACAACACATAAGCACTAGAAATACTATGACTATCAATTGCCACCGTAAACAGCACATCGGCAGATAATCTCACAGTACCATTCAATTAAATGTGTATTTTTATCTTCTCACAAATAACAGTCATCCACAGAGCAGAAGAAAAAAAGACGAAACCAGAACGACGTAAATCGTCGCCCGGATCTTATCCCCGTCGACTCTAATCTCCCGAAATGAGAACGAATCGACTAAACTGCACCGTTGTCGATCCACTCAAATTCAGTTTACCAAAGCTGCTGACTGGGGCGAAATCCCCAGTCCAGCCACTCGAGAAGACATCCGACCGACTCCAATTGCCGAAAAACCATCTTAAAGCGTGTTTTATGGGCCTCCCATTCTCATATTTACCAACTGCTTCACACTTCGTCCCGCCCCCCTCCCCCGGAAGCACTCCACCACCGTTCCAGCGAAAGGCCAAGAGATCATCGTGACTTTTGGCATCATTCCTCTGTTTTTTTGAAATGCTCTTTGAATTTGACACTCCCATGCCATCTCCGAATACAGGGATGAAAAAGATGCCTTCGTCAACAACGTCGTCGTCGTCGGTCGTCGTCGTCGTTTGCTCAATAACCGTATAATTTTACTCTAGCTGGTCCTTCCAGAGTGAATTAAATTTCCACGCGCAAAGAGGAGCAATTAATTAAGGATCTGCTGATGGGACGGGTGAGGGGCACTATTATCCAAAATGGAAAACGACCCACCAATGGAGCAGCGTGGTTGTTTGTGACATTTTCGGTATGATTAATCGCCAATGTCGTCGCCGTCTTGGCCGTCGTCATGACTGTTCATTAGCCTAATGCCATTTTTGTGACTGGCTATTTTCAGGTCGCTCTGCTGCTGATGGCGAAACGTGATGACCCCCCCCCCCTTACCCGGAATAAACTTCTTGGAAAGGTGCCTTCCCAGAACTGACACATCAGCAGCAGCAGATCCTTGGCCCCTCGAAGGTGCAGAGCCCTTGGCCAGTGTCCTTTTGGGCAATAAATTTCGGATCGCAGAAAAGCAGCAGCACGGTACGGTAAAAAAAAAAAAATGAAAAAATAATTCCTGGGCTTCAAAATGGAAATTACGTGATTGTGCCACGCTACGTGAGTCCCCCGGGGTGTGGGGAGCTGACTTTTTTTTTTCTTTTATTAAGAATACTCAATGCTGCTCTATGAATGAGCTAATTATGAATCGTCCGCATCGGGTGCGGTGGTGGAGTCGTTGAACTGGAGCCCCCCCCCCCCCCTCTTTCCATGGAGTGGGAATACAATAATGCGGTTGTGTGTGGGTGCTGCTGTTGCGTGACTATAGTGCCTCCTGTTTCGGCCATTATTGTGCTCAAGGAAAGTGTTCGGAAGTAGTTTCTCCTTTTGTTGGGACTGGTAATGTCCGTCGGTAATCGCTGATCAGTTGAATAAAACCTAGTCTGTGTTATGTACTAACAATTTTTTTTTTCTCTTTACCTTTTTTCAGATCGTGATAATGGACAGCTCATGGCTTTTTGGTGGATAAATGGTAAGTTACAGTACGCTTCTTAGAATGAAATAATCTACAACCGTATGCATCATACGTATAAAAAAGGTCATTAATCTTGTCACATGCTGCAGTTAGCTCATTTTAAGTCATGGTGCACTAGCGCCATTGTACAGAGTACATCTTTTTTGGGCAGGGAGTCAACAATTTAAGGCATCTTCCAAATAAGATTCAAATATCAATTTTTGTTTTTTTGCTGTTCTGTGGACTACTCCAAATTATTCTTTGTATTAACTAAAGGGTGTCCTTTGAAAATTACATTTGCCAGCCCTGGCCTACACACCAAAAAATTCTGAATGTTACTGGTAATGTAAACATTCATGCATGCAAACATTCATGCATGTAAACTCTCTTTACACGTAAACTAGCAGCTTGCAAGAAATGTGGACAGTTGCATACAATAATTCCACACATGTATCATACATTTACACGATCTATAATCTAAACTTGTATGAAATATGACGCTCCATTTATGTGAATCATAGTAACGGAAATTTACACTACTTTTTTTAGCTGTGTACATTCGCAAACCTAACACACAGTCGGGTAGACGAGAATTTCCCCTACCTGTTCATTTTGTTGGTTTGTGTTGGCGGACTTTGGTTTGTAAGAAAATGGCCTTACAATGTTTGTTTACAAAATGGAGTTGAGGCCATTTCAATTGTTGGTCTTGAATATGTAAGCGTATGTCCATATGCGGGAACATCGCTATGCCATATATCTCACGAACGAGCGAAGAAATTTTAAAACGTCCAAAATTTTTGCCAATGAGGGTCACAAACTCACGTGTTTACTTTAATAAGCAAATGTTTTATTTGAAACAGATCTTCGTTAGACAATACGGACTAAGACCGCTAGCCTCTAATGTCAACGAAAAAAGCTCAATTTTTGATATGTTGTTTAATTAGTCCCAATAATCATTTTCGATATGTAAAAACTTGTCCCGAACGATTTAAAAAAAGCCCCACCTTAGTGTCACATGATAGGTTTTATTCGTTTCAGGTCGGATTCACTCTCATTGCTTATACAATCCGGAACATGATCCGTTCATATCTTCATTTGGTGTTTTTTGCGACCAATTCTGTTCAGTGGTTGCCGAGAAACATGACTTCATTCCTCAGATCCATCCATCAGGTTGAAAGGAATTTGTTCGTTCTCAAACTCCGTGTTTTTTTTTTATCTTGTTCCGTCGATACCTCTGGAATCAAGTAACCGAATCTAAAATTATCCAGCAATATTCTATGGGACTCCAAACAGTTAGTTTTGCATTTGCCAACGTCGTCAACGTTCACCTCATCTAGTCCAGCTTTCGATGGCCCAAAATATCCGTTGTAAAGTGTAGTGTCGTATAGTGTCCCATGTTAATTAAAATCAAATTCAATGTCAGTACAGTAAAACTACCGCCAAATAGTACCATAATAACAACATTTAAAATACAAAAACCATACAGGAAGCTCGCCTCCAAGCAACACAGTCCCGTCTTGAAAAGTTGCGGCAACTTGATTGTGAGCGGAATAAGTCGCATAGGAGTTGCTAAAACCGTTTTGCGACAATTGTGCTGCTAGGGACCAAGCTAATCGTGACAACAAACAAAAAAATTAACGACAAACGGTAGACTGTGCATGTTCGTGTTATATCAATGTTTAATGTTAGTAGTAGTCTTTATAAATTGTAATATTTTTTAGTTTACCCTTGAAAAAGGCCACAATAAACGGCCGAAACGTCGGGAAATGCAAAACTAACTGTTTGGATTACCCTAGGCTGAGAAAGCCATAATCAAGGAATCTCCATACGTAGGATTACGGGATGTAATGTCAGCCTAGACCTTCACTTCGGCCTATCAAGCAAAAAACTCATTAATCAAGCAATAATACACAATAGTAATGAAAACTAATAACACATCTGCTGTAAAATTGTAGTCCATGAATTTGTTGCTTTTTTTTGCGACACATTTTGATCATTTATTGCTCTTTTTCAAAGAAAAATTTCAGTGAAATTTTCTTGATTTTCGATTTCTAGGCGCCATGATCTTGCCGTATTATTGCACTAACGAAAATCTACACTTCGGTGGTCATCAAAAAACCTGATATTTTCATGAATTGAAAGAACTTACCGTTTTGTAACATGCTAGCTTAATAAATCAATATCACACTTTTCACTCTTACTGCAAATTTTAAAGATATTTAACGCTTTTAGCGCTCTATAACTATGGACCGAACATTAGGGACGCAATTTTGGAGCTTGTTCCTATGGGATCGTCCATTAATTATGGCACACTGTAGGGGGTTTTGGAAACTGTGAGGAGCCATACGAAAAAAAAATAAGGTCCATAAAAAAAATGTGACAAAGGGGTCGGAGGGGGAGGGACCTTCTCTAATTATGGCCTACGAATTTTAATGTTTTGGTATTGGTGAAACCATGCGCGGTGACGACGACTCTGCAACTGATCACTCCTATACTGCCTATAGTCCCATATCAGTCCCATATGGAAAAAGTAGGCATTGAGAAAATGGCAGTCAAATTTACGAAGTGCAATTTCCATGTAAATATTCGATAAATAATAGTAAATTAGTTGATAATTTTTTCAAGTTGAAATTTATTGCTTGCATATTTTGTTATATCAGCGAAAAAGCAGACCTTTAATTTGAACTATGGGCGATTGAATTTCAGGATGGGACTGATATGCGACTATTTTGTTTGATGGGACAAACTGACCTGATGTTGTTTTCACATTTTTCATGATCAAAGTCCATAGTTTTATCACATAATATGAAAGTAGATGCCAATTTATAGTGGATAGCGTTGTTATCTCAAAATTGACGAAAATCTATATGGGACGGATATGCGATTATAGGCAGTGTAGGAAAACCCCATAAGCGAATGTCAAATTTCGTGAAACATAGCGGATCGGTTTTTCATTCTTTCACTCCACTGAAAAATCCCGTAAGCAAAATGTTAATCTTTTTATTTCTAAACAGCCCAAATTTGAGAAGGATCTACTCATATTCGTCAAAGTAGGGAACTCCAAATTGATTAAACAAAGTTTAGAAAGGAAAACATCGATTAGAATCCGAACGATGTTGTTCATTTCTCTTCTACTTTTTTACGGATATGAGTAGATTCTACTCAATTTTCGGTTGTTTAAAAATAGCGTGCAGTCAATCTTTCCTTCAAAACAAACTTCACGGCAAATTGACTCAAATTTGAGTACCGTTCACTTAAACTCGCAAAAGCGTAGATCACTCGTAGAAAGAGTAACTTTTTAAATATATGATTGAATGTCACTCATATTTGAGTGACATTTAATCATATATGAGTGACATTTTATCATATTTGAGTAAAAATTTACTTATTCTTACAGTGACTTACGTTTTTTGTGAATATCAGTGATTGGGATTCAAATATTTTTATCGTGTAGGCCCTTCGAAAAACTATGCCGAAGCTATTGTGACCTTCTGAAAGCAAAATTGACAAATTTTATATGTCATATACCGTTCCGATTCAAATTTCGGACGATTCAAATTTCGGACACTTTCATTTTTAATTATATATTACATCCAGTTAGAAACAAAGTAATAATGTTAGATGATCGTGGAGGGCACTAGTCAAAAAAATTTAAAATTTACAAGACATGTGGATCATATTCGACCGAGATAATCAACTTTTAAAAGTGTCCGAAATTCGAGTTTAAGTGTCCGAAATTTGAATCGGCACGGTACAAACTTTACCGCCTCTTCTTGTATCTTACAAATAAAAATTGTCATTATAGTATCCCATTGTTTCATAATAACGAAAAATAGCTTTTTAGCTGTAATGAGCAATTGCAAGCCTGAATCTTTCAATGATACTTAGGAGCTAATGGATTATTCGGCTTGCTATTACTTGACTTGACGCTTGACAGTTCGTTATATGTGTGGTCGTGATCTATTTGACTTTTATTTTTATAGAATTCTCCAGATGCACAAAAGTGTGCGTGAGACCGCGCGCTACCTTTTTAAGTAGTGGTGATATCGCGATACCTTTTTGGTTCTTCTTCTTCTTCCTTTTAATAAATGGATGTTGGATTTTAGTATTCGTGAGATTGTGCTATTCTAAAAGCATCGTGGTTGATGTTATCTGGATCAGCCGGAAAGAAAACACTGTATCTTTCTTCCTCATTAGTTCTTATGCTAGAAGTGAAACTGGCATCAACAAAGTGGTTACGTATGAATGCTAAGAAGTGTAAAAGAAGCGCGATTTCATATGCCAATCCTATGTAGATCGAATTTCATCTAGCTCATATCTAGAGATCTCCAAGCGCAATCTCACGAACACTAAAATCCAACATCGATATATAGAAATGGATAAGAAGAAGAACCAAAAAAGTATCGCGATTTCACAACTACCTAAAAAGGTAGCGCATGGTCTCACGTACACTTTTGTGCATCTGGAGAACTCTATAGACCCAATTTGAGTACACTAAAAAAACTACACACGTCTGATCGAAGTGTTTGAACACTTGATATTTCATATGATCAATCACATTTATTTTAAGTGTATTTCACCATGGTTCAATGTGTTCTACATGTTGATTTCTTGTGTTTTAAACTTTGAAATGTTGATAAACTTTCTCTATAAATTCAAGTGTATTGCACATTGAATCGCACTACTGTTCAAAACAAATGGATTTGAAATGTTTTGCATTTCAATGCGATTTGAAATGCTTGTTCTGCAAGGTAAACATTGAAAACATGAGTTGCGACTTCATACTTATCAACCAGTCTCATATATGAGAACAACCATGGGCCAGTGAGATCGAACGAAGACAACTGCAGCAGCACACCCCAACAGTCCAGGATCAATTCCCAAATCAGACCCATTAATTAAAAGGCATGTGTATGCTCTACCCTCTGACAGCTTTTTTTTTTATATATTTGCCGATTTAATTTTTGAGTCGGTAAAGTAGAAGTCGATAAAGTAGAATAATATAGAACATTGATGTGCAAAGCTATTGATATCATCAATTGAGGCATAGTTCAAAGCATAAGATTCACACATGAAATGGATGTGTTTCACAATAAGTGCAAAATTAAGAGGCACATGATGATGACGTGTGAAATTTTTTTAATGTACAGTAGATCGACATTACATCCACGTACCTGAAATGTTTTC